AAATCAGCTCAAAAATGCAAACTGTATTTTATATATGTGTGTGTGGTGTATTGACTTTTTGTGACGTGTGTGCTGTGTGTCGTTTGTGTCGTTGTGTGTGCTGGGTGTATGTGACAAGTTGTGTGTGTTGGCTGTATGTGACAAGTAGTGTGTGCTGGTTGTATGTGATGTGTGTGGTTGTGTCCTTTGTACCCCCCTCCTAACTGGCTTTCTTTAAGGAAGGGAGGCTATGATCTATGATGGTCCAATGGGGGAGTCATACTCCCTGGTGGTTCCATGTGGGTTAGCTCTGCCTGGTAGTTTATCAAGGGTTCTGAGTCTCTGATGCAGCAGTGGAGCATGAGGTTTGCTGCAGCGGGACAAAGTGCAATCTGGGACCATCCGCACGCTGCACACTCACTCACTAGAGAGTGCTAGCTCCAAAGGCAGCCCTTACTGAGAGAGGGAGGTGCAAACACTGCCAGCTCTGATCTCTTCCACAAAAATAATAAAACTAACTGCTTACCAGGCAACTGCTCAGTGGTGCCAGAGCTGGATTAAGGTTGCCCAGGACCCTAGGCAGCATGCCACTTCATAGTGCTCTGGGATCCGTGAGTGTTGTTTGTGTGTAGTTACTGAGTGTTTTGTGTGTTGAAAAGGCTAAGCATCAAGAGTATCAGGAGAAATCTGAATGTTTGTGTGTCTCAAGCATTATGTACCTGTGCATATGCCTGAGAGTGTTTGTGTGTATGTGTGCATTTTTGTCTGAATGTGTCTGCATAGGGGCTCAACTGGCCAGACACTATTTTAAAAATTAGCAGAGGAGAGAAGCAGCACCTTTGGGATATCTTCCAATCCAAATTTAGATAGGTGAACAGCACTACCAGCAGTACCTTACAGGCTCACTGCCTTGGCGTTCTAACCTGTCATTCACCTCTCACATCCAGTCAATCGCCAAATATTATCACTTCCATCTCAAAAATCATAGCCCCCATCCACCCGTACCTAACACCAGATGCAGCTAATGTGCTCATACATTCCACCAATGTTTCCCACACCGACTACTGCTATCTACTTCTTAACGGTCTTGTGCACTCCCAGCTTGCTCCACTACAGTCTATAATGAATGCTGCGGCAAGGCTCATCTTGCTGTCCTCCCACAATCCCCATGCCTACTCCCTCTGTAAGCCTTTTTATTGGCTTCCCATCTCTTCATAACACTGATCATGTCTACCTATCCTCACTACTATGTTTGAACATTTATAAAAAAAATAATCTTGTTCCTCTAAACTAATTCAAAGTTATTTTTAATTAAAACAAACAAACAAACAAACATATCTGTTAAAAAAGCAACAACCCATTACATGTAGACATTTCCTTTGCACAGACACAATACATGCAGATTCACACAGACACTACCACAGGGATGGTGAAAGGGTTTTTACCACTGCTGGGATAATGCTTTTTGGCCACTTGTGCCATGCAAAGTTGAACACATACATAAATTGACCATCGTCATATCTTCCGCTAAAGATAACCTAAGGTAAGTCATATTTTGTTATTATATTCCTTAGTCACTATATAGGTATTCCCTATTAAACAACACAGTGTTTGATAAATATAATTTGTTACCTGAGGAGCAGAAAAATGATACACAACGCAAAATGTTCCATTGGAGACCAACAAAGTACATTAAATGTCCTTTCACAGTGAATTTATTTTCTTCATTATAACTCTGTATTCATGAGAAAGTACAATTTAATAAGCAGTAAACATTAAAACGTCTTCTATACTTTCACAGTGGTGACCGCTAATTTGTCACTACAGTTTTGTTCAGCAGATGGGAAAAGCCAAAATGTTAAGTAGTTTCACACACACAATACGGCTCTGTGGAAGCCATAAAGTGTTGGATGTTTTCCAGATTTTCGGTTGGATTTTACTCCCAGAAGCAGTAAGTGACAAAAGTTAATGTGAACTATAGTTCATTTTAGCTATGTAGGTTCCTACAGAGTTGGCTGGCATTCCACAATGCGGGTTGATGTTTTCAACATATATTATGGTTGAAAAACTAATGGTGAAGGATGTATTGCAATTTCGAGGAGGTCCCTTGCCATTCGGGCAGTCAGTAAGAGGAAATATAAAGTATTTGTTTAGATAGCTTAACATATTTATATATGGATAGAGAATAACTAAGTGAAGCAGGTATGATGGGAATATTATGCTGTCAATCTGATGACATCATAACCAGGGGCGTTTTAGCCGCGAGGCAAACAAGGCATTTGCCTTGGGCGGCATTTTTCAGGGGGCGGCAAAAAAAGCCGCCCCCCAAATGCCCAAGGCAAATGTCATGTTAGCCTTGCGGCTAACAGACATGCTGGGTGCCGGGCGGCATTGGTGAGCGGGCGGGCAGCTGACGAGGGAGCTTTTCCTGTGAGCTGACTGCTCAGCTCCCTCGCGCCGCAGAGTGAGGCTGGGAGCCGGGATATGACGTCATATCCCGGCTCCCAGCCTCACTCTGCGGCGCGCGAGGGAGCTGAGCAGTCAGCTCACAGGAAAAGCTCCCTCGTCAGCCGCCCGCCTGCCAATGCCATCCACCCAGCAGTCACTGGACCACCAGGGAGATAGAGAACCCCTTCCCTCCCCAGCACTCCCAAAGGTAAGGAGGCTGGAGGGGGAGGGGGGAGGTTTAAAAAGTACATGTGTTAATGTGAGTGTGTGTGTCTGTTAGTGAGTGTGTGTTAGTGTGTGTGTCTGTTATTGTGGGTGTGTGTCTGTTAGTGTGTGTGTGTGTCTGTTAGTGAGTGTGTGTTATTGTGTGTGTCTGTTAGTGTGTGTGTGTCTGTTATTGTGTGTGTGTGTGTGTCTGTTAGTGTGTGTGTGTGTCTGTTAGTGAGTGTGTGTTATTGTGTGTGTCTGTTAGTGTGTGTGTGTCTGTTATTGTGTGTGTCTGTTAGTGTGTGTGTGTCTGTTATTGTGTGTGTCTGTTAGTGTGTGTGTCTGTTATTGTGTGTGTGTGTCTGTTAGTGTGTGTGTGTCTGTTAGTGAGTGTGTGTTATTGTGTGTGTCTGTTAGTGTGTGTGTGTCTGTTAGTGTGTGTGTCTGTTAGTGAGTGTGTGTGTGTCTGTTAGTGAGTGTGTGTGTCTGTTAGTGAGTGTGTCTGTTAGTGTGTGTGTGTGTGTGTGTGTGTGTCTGTTAGTGTGTGAGTGAGTGTGTCTGTGAGTGTGTGTGTCTGTGAGTGAGTCTCTGCTAGTGAGTGTGTGTGTGTGTATTTAGAAGGCGGGGGAAGGGATGGGAGGGGTCAAGCGCGCGGGGGGAAGGGATGGGTGGGGGTCGCGCGTGCAGGGACGGTTGGGGGGCGCCTGAGTTTTGTCCTGCCTAGGGCAGCACAAAACCAGGATACACCACTGATCATAACAGACCTATTATAAAAACATTATTTCCCAGCTCTGTATTTTTTATATTGCATAATGTTTTAGGTGCTAGAAAACATATACAGTCATGTGAAAAAGAAAGTACACCATCTTTAAATTATATGGTTCTACATATCAGGACATAATAACAATCATCTGTTCCTTAGCAGGCCTTAAAGTTAGTTTACTATAACCTGAGATGAAAAACAACACAAGGCATTGTATACCATGTCATGATTTATTTAACAAAAATAAAGTCAAAATGGGGAAGCCATGTGTAAAAAACTAAGTTTACCTTATGATTCAATAACTCATAGAACCACCTTTAGCAGCAATAACTTGATGTAACGTTTTTGTATGACATTATTAGTGTCATTGTAGATGAGTTTTGGCCCACTCCTCTTTACAACTGCTTCAGTTCATTAACGGTGTCCTAGTATTTGATTATACAAAGCTCTCTTAAGGTTTCACCACAGCATTTCAATCAGGTTGAAGTCTGGGCTTTGACTGGGTCATTGCAACACCTTGATTTCTTTTTTCTTGGGATCATTGTCCTGTTACATGCCACAATTATGGCTAAGCTTTAGCTTTTGGACAGGTGGCCTTATAGTTGACTCTAGAATACTTTGGCATACAGAAGAGTTCATGGTTGACTCCATGACTGCAAGGTTCCAAGGTCCTGTGGCTGCAAAACAAGTCCAAACCATCACTCATTCACCACAGTGCTTGACAGTTATGAGGTGTTTGTGCTGATATGCTGTGTTTGGTTTCCGCCTGTGCATCATGGCCAAGGATATGCAGTTTGGCTCATGTTTCCAGAAAGACATTGTTCCAGAAGTCTTGTGGTTTTCTCAGATTCAACTTTACAAAACTAAGTCATGCTGCCATGTTCTTTTAGAGGGAAGAGGCTTCTCCTAACAACCCTTACAAACAAACCAGACTTGTTCTGTCTTTTTTGAATTGTTGAACTTTAATATTTAATATGTTAACTGAGATCTGTAGAATCTGAAATGTAACTCTTGTTTTTTTTTTTTAGCAATTTTTCTGAGCATTGCACAGTCTGACTTTGGGGTGCATGTGATGGGACGTCCACTCCTGGGAAGATTGGCAACTGTCTTAAATGTTTTTCACTTTTGGAATGTTTTTCACTGTAGAATGGTGGACTTTAAATTGTTTGGAAATTGCCTTATAACACTTCCCAGTTTGATGGGCTGCAACATTGTTTTTCTGGGATCATTGCTGACAGTGACATACACACAACCCATGGGGCCCCGGTGCAAAAACTGATCCGTGGCCCCCCCCCCCCACGTGCTTACTCTGCATGGGCTGGGGCCGCAACACATACCGCGGTATGTACGCCAGTGCATGCAGATACACATACACTTAAAGGATCACTACAGACACCCAGATCACATCATCTCAATGAAGTGGTCTGGGTGCCAGGTCCCTCTAGTTTTAACCCTGCAGCTGAAAACATAGCAGTTTCAGAGAAACTGCTATGTTTCACTGAGGGTTAATTCAGCCTCTAGTGGCTGTCTCACTGACAGCCGCTAGAGGAGCACACTGAACGTCCATAGGAAAGCATTGAGTAATGCTTTCCTATGGGCGGTTTGAATGCGCGCGCGGCTCTTGCCACGCATGCGCATTCGGAGCTGAGAGGCGGATCAGGGCGGAGAGATCCCCAGCGCCAAGGGAGTCCGGCGCTGGAGAAAGGTAAGTGCTTAAGACACACACACTCTCACGAACAGACGCATACACACTAGCTAACAGACACACACATTTACTGACAGACACACACTCAGTGACAGACATACATACACACTCACTGACAGACAGACACTCACTCACTTACAAAACAGACACACAGTAACACACTCACTGAAAAACTCTAACACTAACACACACACACTTTAACACACACACACTAACACACACACTCTCTAACACACACACACTAACACAAACTCTAACACACACACTAACATACACACTAACAAACACACACACTAACACACACTAACAAACACACACACTAACACACACACACTAACACTAACACACACTCTAACACTGACACACACACACTAACACACACTCTAACACTAACACTCACACACTCAAACACACACACACTAACACACACACACTCTAACACACACACTAACACACAATCACACACACTAACACATACACACACTCTAACACACACACACTAACACTAACACCCACACACTCTAACACTCACACACTCTAACGCACACACACTCGCACACACTAACACACACACTCTAACACTCACACACTCTAACACACACACATTAACATACACTAAAACACACACACTCACACTCACACACACTCACACACACTCAGACTCACACACACTAACACTCACACACTCACACTCACACACTCTAACACACACACTTTTTTCTTAAATTTAATCCCCCCAGCCTCCCTACCTGTGGGAGTGCTGAGGGGACTCCCTGGGGTCCAGTGGTGTCACCCGGCGGGCAGGCTGGCGGGCACGCGAGGGAGCACTGTCCCCTGAGTGATTCCTGTTCAGCTCCCTCGCGCACGACGTACTGATGCAGGAGCCGGAAGATGATGTCATGCGCATTCGGAGCTGAGAGGCGGAGAGATCCCCAGCGCCAAGGGCGTCCGGTGCTGGAGAAAGGTAAGTGCTTAAGACTCACACACACTCTCATGAACATACACACTAGCTAACAGACACACACATTTACTGACAGACACACACTCAGTGACAGACATACATACACACTCACTGACAGACAGACACTCACTCACTTACAAAACAGACACACAGTAACACACTCACTGAAAAACTCTAACACTAACACACACACACTTTAACACACACACACTAACACACACACTCTCTAACACACACACACTAACACAAACTCTAACACACACACTAACATACACACTAACAAACACACACACTAACACACACACACTAACAAACACACACACTAACACACACACACTAACACACACTCTAACACTGACACACACACACTAACACACACTCTAACACTAACACTCACACACTCAAACACACACACACTAACACACACTCACACACTCTAACACACACACTAACACACATTCACACACACTAACACATACACACACTCTAACACACACACACTAACACCCACACACTCTAACACTCACACACTCTAACGCACACACACTCACACACACTAACACACACACTCTAACACTCACACACTCTAACACACACACATTAACATACACTAAAACACACACACTCACACTCACACACACTCACACACACTCAGACTCACACACACTAACACTCACACACTCACACTCACACACTCTAACACACACACTTTTTTTTAAAATTTAATCCCCCCAGCCTCCCTACCTGTGGGAGTGCTGAGGGGACTCCCTGGGGTCCAGTGGTGTCACCCGGCGGGCAGGCTGGCGGGCACGCGAGGGAGCACTGTCCCCTGAGTGATTCCTGTTCAGCTCCCTCGCGCACGACGTACTGATGCAGGAGCCGGAAGATGATGTCATATTCTGGCTCCGGTATCAGCGCGGTGCGCGAGGGAGCTGAAGAGGAAGCACTCAGGGGAGAGTGCTCCCTCGCACGCCCGCCAGCCTGCCCGCCAGCCTCGGGGGGCCCTGAGGTGGCCGGCTCCTGGGCCCCCCAGGAGAAGAGGGTGGCCACAGTGGGTACATACCGGGTCGCAGGGCGGCCGGGCCCCCTGGTGGGCCTGGCCCGGTGGCAACCGCGACCTCTGCGTCCCCGGTATGTACATAACTGATTGCTGATGTCTTTCCTCCTTGGCATTTTGTTAAAGGACCACTATAGTGCCAGGAAAACATACTCGTTTTACTGGCACTATAGTGCCCTGAGGGTGCACTGAGGGTGCCCTCACCCTCAGGGTCCCACTCCCGCCGGGCTGGATGGAGAGGAAGGGGTTAAACACTTACCGAGGGAGCCCAGCGCTGGAGACTCTCTTCCTCCTTTCCCCATCATTGGCTGAATGTGCATGCACAGCAAGAGCCGTGCGCGCATTCAGTCAGTCTCATAGGAAAGCATTGTCAATGCTTTCCTATGGACGCTGGCGTCTTCTCGCTGTGGAAATCACAGTGAGAAGCGCAGAAGCGCCTCTAGCGGCTGTCAGTGAGACAGCCACTAGAGGCTGGATTAACCCATAGGTAAACATAGCAGAAAGGGTTAATCATAGGTGGACCTGGCACCCAGACCACTTCATTAAGCTGAAGTGGTCTGGGTGCCTACAGTGGTCCTTTAACACAGTGGTCCCTTGCTCCACATCAGCAAGCTGCAAAACATTATAGAGGTGATGATAAATTAATCAAGGGCATTTGATTAACAGCACCCGTGGAAGCAGTTAGGGTGTACTTAATTTTTCACACATGGTTTCTCCATTTTGGCTTTATTGTTGTTAAATAAATCATGACACAGTGTAATATGTCATGTGTTGTTGTTCATGTGAGGTTGTATTTACCTAATTTTAAGACCAGCTAAGCAACAGAAGATGTCCTAATATTTAAAACCATAGAATTCAAAGAGGGTGTATTTTCTTTTTCACGTGCCTGTACATCTATTGTAGACACACACAAACACTATAACAGATGAACAGGCACACAGATAACACTATAACACAAAAATAAAATTCAGCGCAGGAGCAAGATGATAATAGTCCACAAGCAGCTTAAACACCAATATGGAGTCTCTCTTTTCCGATCACAAAACTGGATAAAAACAGGGGTGTGACGAGACCAATCTCGCCACATTGCATTGGAGAAGCCTGGTTGCCCGCCTGCTGCCCCTGGACTATGGCCCCCTTTTAAAAGACATCTTTTTTTACCTGCAGAAAAGCTTCATTCGTGCTTTTCTGCCTGGGGTTCGGTAGATTTGTTTGAATGTGTTATACCCCAGATAGGAATCCCATGGAGCCCATTCGTATGAAACTGACTGTAAAGACTTTGGCTCAATGGCGATTAAACTGTATTCGTGTGGTCTGAGCGCCATTCGCTTAATAATGTGCGCTCGGACCTGAGCTATCTGGGGATATGTTACATGTCTGTGTTTTATGTAATAAATGTGACTTTATGCATTTTAAAGTGTTTTGTGTCTTTTTGCAACCATGTGCTTAATGGAGTCTTGTGTCTGTCCTGGGAGATAATTGAATTACTCTCCAGGATAGAAGACTCTAAAACTGGTTTGGGCCAGAAAGCCATGCTTCATTTAGTCACAAAGGACTTTTTACTAACTTTTGAACCCCTGGTCTGATTCAGGCCATTTTTTAATATGTGTTTCCCCTGAATGGATTGATTGTGAATGTGTAATTTTATGTGAATGTGATGTATGGTTTTAGAGTTATGAAAGTTGGGTAGAAAGTATGTTTTAACTGTATGTATAACTGAGTTTCCTCTCAGGATAAGGGGAGGGAATATGTGGGATGTAACTGTGATGTTATTGGTTGTTTTATACCTCCCTGTGGGCGGTCCTGTATTTGAAAACACTGTAATAAAAACCAGGCTGGGTGTGCCAGCACCTCAGACCACTGCTTGACCCTCAACACAGAGCCTTGTCTCGTTCTTGGGGGGATTCACTGCATGCTGTTAGAGACTGATTGCCAGGAGTGTAAGCTGATTGTCTGCTTTTCCTGTTCGTCTGCTAGCAGCTATTTGGGAGGTTCCAGTTCGGGAGTTGGAGTGCTATTTTGTATCCAGTTCGGGAGTTTGGTGTTCTGCAGTAGCTGTGCCTGCATCTCTGGAAAGGGGGCCGATCGCCTAAATGGTTTTTACCCCTTTTGTGCAAAACAGTCCGTTACAATTGGTGGCAAGCGGCGGGATCGTTCCCACAGACTACAGGACAGCTACAGGCGACACCATTCCGTGGATTTTTACAATTTGAGGGCAACGCATGTCTCAGTACAGCGACCCTGACAGCAACAGAATGGAACCAGCAGTGGAGTACAGATACTCTGTACAGGAATTTGACCGCATGATGTGGTTGCGGCTGAACTTCTACGGACCTAATCCAGCTGAGAAATCCGTGAAGTTCGTGAGGAGTCTAGTATTCAAGACTCTGCTGTACCGGGCAGAGGGTGACGGTCAGCTGCCACGGTGGGTGGACCTCCACCGGCAGCTACAGTTGCTGGACAGAGAGAGCCCAGTCTCCTCTCCCCAGCGGCAGTGTGATATGCAGGGAATTGGGAGCCCAGTCTCCATTCCCCAGCGGCAGTGTGATATGCAGGGAATTGGGAGCCCAATCTCCATTCCCCAGCGGCAGTGTGATATGCAGGGAATTGGGAGCCCAGTCTCCATTCCCCAGCGGCAGTGTGATATGCAGGGAATTGGGAGCCCAGTCTCCATTCCCCAGCGGCAGTGTGATATGCCGGGAATTGGGAGCCCAGTCTCCATTCCCCAGCTGCAGTGTAAAGTGCAGGGAGAGGAGAGCAGCGTCCTCCCTCCCCAGCGGCAGGCTGAGTTACAGGGGGCAGAGGTAGTTGTTCCTGCCCCCCAGCAGCAGAGTGATATGCCGGGAAGGCAGTGTGAAGTGCAGGGAGAGGAGAGCAGCGTCCTCCCTCCCCAGCGGCAGGCTGAGCTACAGGGGGCAGAGGTAGTTGTTCCTGCCCCCCAGCAGCAGCGTGATTTTTTGGGAATTGGGAGCCCAGTCTCCATTCCCCAGCGGCCGAGTGATGTGCCGGGAATTGGGAGCCCAGTCTCCTTTCCCCAGCAGCAGGAAACTGTATTGGGAGCGGAGACAGTCGGTCTCCCTCCACAGAGGATGAAAGTATGTATGG